CAACAGCTACTGCGGCTTATTATGAAAATAAAACTTTGTTTGTTTCCTTCTCTTCCAAGAGTCGTCGCCGCAATATTAATGCTTGTGTATATAAGTTTGTTATTATCTCGTTTACTTAGACGTGGAGATATTATCGTTGACAGTATCGTTTCACTTTTAGCCGAGCTCAACAAAGGTAATTTATATTGACCGTTTTAATTATTTATTATATTTTAATCTTATCTATTTTTATTTTATTTTATGGTTTTTTTATAGTTATGACGGCTACTTCCTAGTATTAATTTGAACTTCTTAATATTAGTCGGGTAACGGTCTTGTCAGCTATAATACTGTGAATAACATTCATGTCATTTTATTAAGGTCTTTAATTAATTCTTTTACTTGTAATGCGTTCGTTTTGTAAACCTTGAGTTTTTTTTTATCACTAAAGAGGGTTTATGATTGAGCCGAAACATTTGATTATTTATATTGAGTATTCATGTTCAACAAATATTGCTCTATTTCCTATTAAGGTTTTTAATTAATTCTTTTACTTGTAATGCGTTCGTTTTGTAAACCTTGAGTTTTTTTTTTATCACTAAAGAGGGTTTATGATTGAGTCGAAACATTTGATTATTTATATTGAGTATTCATGTTCAATAAATATTGCTCTATTTCCTAACACAATAAAGATTTTACTCATATGGTACATAGCACTATTAATCCTGTGCTTGAACTCGAATTAGCCCTTTTTCCTATTATTTAATTGATATCATTGTTATTGAGTTCTTATTTTCTTTCTCTTAAACAGTAATTTAATTTTTTTATAATATAACTTAATAAAATGATATAATTGTAATAAAAATTATATTTTTCGTACTTTTATTGTTAATTACCCTTAGCTAATAAGGTGAGATCTACAAAATCCGGCACTTCCATTTCGTTATTTTTAAGTTTTTATAGTAAACATTTTTTTATTGTTGATTGTTATTAAATAAATAAAGTCATGAAAGACTTTGAGTAATTATAAAGGAGTACAATTAAAAGAAGGAGAAATCCACTTTACCATGTAAGATTTCATTAAATTAATTAAATTTATATATAAATATATAAATCAATGCTTATTATAAGCGATTTCTGAAATATTTTAGTGAAAAAGATTTTGATAAAATGAATGTTTCACAAATATTTTTAATTATTTCAATGTTATACTTCAATATTAATAATTTCCAAGTTATCTTTCGGAAAGCTTGCTGTGTGGAACCCTATGTGGACATGCCTTATTTGGAAGACTGTATTTTTGAGAACCAAAATCATTAGTATTTTGGTTTTACTTCAAACTTATGTGAATTTTACTTTAATCTAAAATTGTAAACTAAAATTATGTAAGACTTTAAACTATTTCAAGAATTGAATAAACGAGACTCTGACTGAATTATATAAGTACATGTCTTGTTGTGTTGACGTCAATGGACATCCACATCTGTGCCTATTTAGGGCCTATTTACGAATTTTCCTTTAGAAATCCTTTTGCTTGGCCATATGTAGGCCTAACGATGGCATTACTTATTAAGGGAATCCCCAATAGTGCCTATTCAGGGTCTGTTAAGGAAATTCTACTCAAAATTTGCCTTTGTACACCCTTTCTAGGCCCAACGATGCCAAGTCTATTTTAGGGTATGCCTATCTAGGCCCTTTACGGACTTGGGGCATGTCCCGATAAAATTCTACACGGAATATGTGTGTGTGTGTGATGCAACTATTTCAAATTTTATGATCCCTTTATTTGTGGGTTAATTAATTGTAAATTAAAAAAAAGTATTTTAGAATTCAAGCCGCGTTTTATCCTTTCGATGAATAAGAATGCAATTAACTTTAAATAAAGGATCGTTTTAATATGTCACACTTTTTAAAATTCTGATATTCACTCACGCAGTATCTCATAATGAATTCACTTCGAACACTCGGCCAGTTCCACTGAGGGCGTCTTCTCATGAGCCCCTATTTTATACAACGGTAGCCGCGGGACGTTGCGCAAGTTCATGTGAATATTATGCACCATGGACGGATGTTTACAATCGTGCTTCATGGTGTAGATTCTCGTGTGGACGCGATACGACGCGCTTATACGTGGGTATGGGAAAATCGGCTAGTTACGCCTCGCAAGTGTGCACGTGTGTTATTTCAAAACGACGAGATACTTCGCCATTTCATTGTCGAGTTATGCAATCGGTCGAGTGGTGTTGCATGTGTGTGACGAAACTGCGATTCTTCGGAATCCTTGAGAATAGGTTGTTAAGCCTGCCGACGACGGATCTACAATTTATGATAGTCTTGGTTCGTGTGGACTTCACGCAATCGTAACTTACTTAGCCTGATTTTACTAAAAGAAAAATGTATTTTACTCGTGGAAGAAACCAGCCATCGAAAAAATGAAAGTAAAAAATTATATAACTGTTTATATATGTGAGTATTTTGCTTGACATAACGTTAGACCACTATAATATTATCATGATGATAATGCTCATAATAATAATAATGATATAATCTGACCCATTTCAGGACAGTTATAAACTACATATGTTACACGCAACGCAGTACATGGGAAAATTCGCTACGGTAAGTGCTGAAGAGTAAAGTTTAAGTAATAATTAACAATAGACCGTGAAAGGAGTGACTCAAGAAGTATTATAATTACAGCTTTATCATAATTAAACAGGAGATCCAGATAGCTAAGTAACAATTTCTTTTACAAAATATCATTCTAATCATAAAATAATTAAGTGTAGCATGTCTGCATATTTGCATTTGAAACCTGGTTTATTACAAAGTTATAAAATGTACAAAGAACAACAAAATTACTGGCTCGTACGAATTGTAGTCTCAAGTTTAGTAAATAAGTTAAACCTTGCTTTATAAGTAGTCAAATATATGAACAATTGATTGAAGAAGGAAATGATTTTATTATACACTTCACATGAATTTTGTGTTCAATCTGACAATACGTCTTTTTTTTCATTTTGTTAACTGATATTAATATAAACGACTTTCACACACAAGAAACAATGCATGTCGCAATACAAATTATTATGTCTTCTCGTTGCGATTACATACAATTTTGCAGTTTTATTTCTCGATACATTACGTACTCATTTTACTTTCATAATACAAAATACTGTTCGATGAAAGCCGACAGTGTTGTGTGCCAATCATTTACTTTTAACACGTTTCAGAATTCGTGTTCAGGAAAGCCCTTCGTGTATCGATATCCACGCGATCGATTTAAACACAATGAGGCTTAACTATAACAGAATTATGTACGGGCGGCGGAGCATACAAGGGCGGTGTGTGAACCACGGGCTTAACGTAGGACACGTGCGGCGTTGGCAGCTGCACCACCTTCGGCGCGGCGTACTGGACGGGTGCGTGTACCAGCGGTTTCTGATAGACGATCGGTGCGACGGGAGCCTCGTACTTCTTCACGAATATATTCGGCATCACGTCGTGGTACATGTGGTTTTGATATGTGGGTGCGTAGTATAACGGCTTCTGGTAGATCGGCGCATAAGACGGCATGGGTTTCTGGTAGATTGGCATCGCTGGCTTGATATACTGGAGCGATTGATGCACCGTTTGGTAGTTCACCACGGGCGTCACCGGCTTTACATACGAGACAATCGGTTTCGACACCACAGAGGTGTAAGAGGAATGTTGAGGATACTGGAAATGAGCCAAGGGCTGGACGCCCAGCTCCTTCTTCAGATAAGTCGGCTGGACGTATGGTTTAACGTAAACGGGCGGCGGTGCGTAAGCGGGAACATGCGGATAGATTGGTCCACAGGGTTGATGAAGGGACTCCCTTTTCGGCTTCAACATCGAGGTGTCCGATATCTTATCCATTAGCGATTCGTTCGGCATGTCCATGTGCATCCCGGCGTCCGAGCGCACCGTTGACAGCCATATCAAGCATGGTATCTGGCAACATGTGAAGGTTTGATTATTTAATGCAGGATTAATAAGTACCTCGAAAAAGAGACTGAGTAAGTTATCGATTATATGGGACTGAAATTTATGTTGTGGAATATAGATAAGAGAAGGACGGACAAGATGGAACATCTTAATTATTTTTGTTCCTACAATAGCATAATAATTGTGTACTTTGTTTCAAAAGCATGATGTACTTTTGTTAATCATTTTATGAACTTTATCACTCGAAATAAAAAGTTGTATTAATAATTATTATTTAAAACTTGTTTACTAGACTCTCCTCCGCAATTTTTATGGGAACGTAGAACAAATTGAAGCCAATATAAAAGATCTATATAAATCGACATAAAAGTTTTGTAATGTTCGTAATAATAGTCAAAATATTAATTAAAGAAAATTGGTGAATGATCAGGCGCGATATGGTAGATGAGCTATAGTGGCGATGTATGCTGTTATGTTAGACATTATACATTAGATCAAATTGAACAAAAGAGCTCTTTATTATTTTATAAATAACCACGTAGATTTTTAGTTACTAATGAAAAAGAAATGATTACATGATTGTGCGCAATAATGCACAAATCTTATTTAATTAATATATAAATATCTATATAATTAATATCTATCTTATTTAATTAATATATAAATATCTATATAATTAATATATAAATATCTATATAATCATTTGCAAAATAATAGATGATTTTTTGGTTAGTTTGACTTAGTGTAATATACAACGGCAAACGACGTCACTACATAGCTCATCTACCATCGCACATAATTATTCACTAATCTTCTTTAATTAATATCTAGAGATTTATTGCGAATATTGCAAAACGATATAGGACTTTTATGTTCGCCTTAATCCGTTCTACGTTCTTATAAAAATTGTGGAGAGAAGAGAGTCTAGGATACTCTGTATATACATTCAGATTTGAATTTAGAGTTAGATGTGAATCTTTCAGCTGCATCGCGATTAGTGATGTCGCATTATTCAATAAAAATAATAATTCAAGTAAAAAACTTAAATTTAATTCTAAATTTATATCTGAGTACCTTACTTGGGGCAAATTTTAAGTAATAACAATTAATATAGGCCTAAAATTTGAATTTAAGTGAGTTCTTCCGTTGATTCAGGATTACAAATGTAAAATCGCATAGAGGAAAAATGGACAAAATGGAATATGCAGATGAAATAAAACATCTCAATTATTTTTGTTCCCATAATAACATGACAATCGTGCACTTTATATCAAATAGCTCTCGTTACCTGTGTACTAAAACTGTGACTTTAATAGTGTAACGTACATTGTTGCTAACTTGCAATCATATGCAACTTTGTGTTCTCTATGTTAACGTGAATAATAAAAGTCTTTAGGTAAATTTCAACCTAATAATTTATTATTTTTAACAGAGTCGTGTGTATGTATGCTAATTTATTATATGAAATAACATCTAACTAACATTTAACAATTAACTATGCCGTTTAGCTTTGTAAATGAATACACATGGAATGAGTTTCTAATTCAAAAACTTTTTATTCATTAATTAAATAGTACATTGTAAGCAAAATGAAACATGAAAATGTAACATGGAAGAAACCAAAATGGAACACTATATGACTTATTTTATCTTGTCCTAATAATGCCTTGAATGAAATTAATCCAAATTACGACTCAGAGATCTAGAATCGTGATTCTTGCAAAGTTAATGTTAGTAGAGATCGTTTTCAAAAGCACATAATTCTATTTAATTATTATTATTATTTATAGCTCTCTACTATAAACATATTTTTTATTCATATTTATTTTTTTAAATTCATATTCTTAATTTAACTAATAGCAGGTCTTGCATAAGTAGTTATGTTAAACAATAATTTAACTTAATAGTGTTATATTAAATAAATTCATGTGTTGTGTGGTTTTCATTTTACGAAATAATTTTGTTTCTTTTGAAATATTAAATTTAGTTGTTTATGTTTATTGCTTTGTATTTATTTGTGTTTATTGTTCTTTAATAAAATATATATTCAGTAATATATAAATTTGTTTTTTATTCCACTTGATACTTCTTACTTTTATTAGATTCTTAATCATGTTTTTACCTCACTGGAAATCAATACTCTCCATTTTCTAATTATTTCTAAGAAAATTGAAGATATTTAAATTTTCTTTTTGCTAGCTTTACGCAGGAAACAATCTGCACTAAACGCTTATGTCATTGTTTTGGAAAAAATTATTTTAACTTTCTTTTGACAGTTTCTAAAAAAATATTCATTTTACTCGCTCTTTGCTATATCGCGATCATACAAAAAGTCATTTCTTTTCTGTTTTGTACGATATAACATATTTTTGCAATTATCTTTCTAAAAATCTACTTACTATATAATAATATTTTTATACAAGCGACAGATTACAATATTTCGATGAATATCTTCAATTATTTAAAGATAAAATGTCTCTATAACAATACGTCCGAAAATTGAAAGGACCTTAGCCACTTGAATTTATGGAACGTGCGGCGCAATATCTCTCGGCTTACCAATATCCTGAACATGATTTTCTTCCTGTTTCTGGGATCACGCTTGATAACCAATAGATCAGGAGTCCTGGACTAAACTAGAGGCGCGTCGCTCATAGTTCTCGGTTTTATAAACTTTTGCTCCACTTAGAGAGGGCAGGTTTCTTGCCGAGCCGAAGTCGAATGTGATTCCCTTAAGCGGTGTAAAAAGCGGTCGCCAGGCCTATGATGCAATTGCTCGCGCCCCGGTATTTCCTGAATAAATTCTGCAACGGCGCAAGAGACTGCACCTTGGGCATGGCACGACACATTGCGTCGTTGACATTATTCGTCGTCATTTACCACACGGTGGACATGCCAGGTCGGCGACAACAACTGGGAACGCGTAACGCGACAGACCGCTTCAGGCGTCGCCCGTGGGAACACCTGTGTACGTAATTTACGGTGATTATGGATGCATTCACATTTTAACAAAAAATCAGACACACCTGATGTATTTACTATGTGTTTGTCGCAAGCGCACGTATAATCGCTGGTAGCGCTAAATTTACTCGAGATTATAAATTGCGGACGTGATTTGGTGATTTTTAGCAAGTGCAATTGACAGTCATGTAATTAAGCAAAATAAAAGTCTGTCATGTATCCAAAGATCTCTTTATAAAAACATTTGCTTTAATTCATATTAACACACTGTTGACACGTAAATTAGCTGCGTTACTCACTTGAGGAAAGGCGGTAATTAGTGATTGCGTGTACGAAAAAGAACAATTTATTTAAACAAATATAACATTACATGTACAACAACGAACTATGTACAGACATCACAACGCTTACGATCTACCGTTGTTATCGTCTAATCTTGTCGCTATTTTTGGCATAAAGATACTGAAAAGAATCGTCCAGGATTACGGACGATTAATGTTTCCAGCCGTGTCCTGAGCTTTGATGGTGGAAAACATGCTTGTACACTGGTACGTGAACTGGATATGGTTTAGGAATCGGCACTGGAAAATGCTTCTCCACTGTCACTGGATAGGGTTTCTCGACGACGTACGGCACCTGCGACGTAAAGTCAGTATTAAAAATTACAATATCCAACAATGTCAACACTATAATATTTTATATTTTCTCTATTTGAATGCGAAATTGCTTCTTTTCTAATTAAATTAAGTTTTCTGTTTGTATATTACAGGGTTAAGTGAGATAATTTCTTTAACTAAGTTAAATGTTTAAAGTCAATAGGTCTTAAATTAACTAAATTTATGTAAAAAGTATTATATAAACGAAGATTAACTCAATCACAAGTGATTAAATTAATTTATTAAAGTTAAAAATTAATTACGCAAATTAATATATATATATATATATATATATTGATATATATTAATGAATATTGAATATATATAATATATTCAAGGTGTCCTAAAACTTTCGAAGTTGTCTTGGAGATATAGTATGGATTGAAGTAAATATGAAAGTTCTGTACTATTGTACGATATTTGTCAGTTATCTAGATCTCAATTAAAGAAGATTCTTGAATGATCACACGAGATATGTTAGACGAGCTTTAGTGGCGATATTTGCCATCGTGTGCTTGTACATTAGATCAGACTGAACAAAAAGATCCTCAACCATTTCCCTAATAACTTTGTAGATTTTTAGTTATTAATTAAATAATATTAATATATTGTCACAAGAGACTATCCACTAATCTTCTTTAATTAATAATTAAGAATTTAGAAAGTTATTAGGAAAATAATAGAGGACTTTTCGTTCAGTTTGATCTAATGTATTATACAAGCACACAATGACAGACGTCGCCACTATAGCTCATTTACCATATCTCGCGTGATCATTTATAATTTTTTTTTATTAATATCTGGATAATTATTGCGAATATACAGTATAGGACTTTTATGTTCACCTCGATCCGTACTATACCTCCAGAGCTTTGAAGATTGTTCTGGGATACCACATATATATATGTTTTCGCATAATTAACTGTTTAATACAAGATTAAATTTATGAATTATTAATGAAAAAATAATCTTTTATAAAATAAATATCGACTGTTTTGTGTACTTAGTATATTCTAAACAAAAAAAGAATACTAGGTTAGGTTAAGTTAGAGCAAAAAATTCTTCTGCTGTTCTCTTTTATCTTTCTTATTCTATATATAGCAACTCGCTTATTTAAGTATTGATGGATTCCTTTAACTTATATAAAAAAAATAATAAATTAAAGTTAATATATTTAAAATAACTAGTTTAAGTTCAAGGCTGACTCTCTAATGAAAAATTTTTCATATATAATTATATAAAATTATATAAAATTATATAAAATTATATAAAATTATATAAAATTATATAAAATTATATATAATTATACATAATTACGTATGGACAAATTTCATACATAATTTTGCATGAAAAATTTTGCATCGGGTCATTTAAGATTAACCAGATAAAGTTAAAAATTATTAATATTTTGATGTTTTAAATCAGCTTTTAATTGATTAACTATTTATTACTATTAATTAATTACTGTAATAATTAATTTACTAATTCATAAGAACCTTTTTCTCCACGATGTACGGTTCTGGCTTTTCTACTGGTATTTCGATGTGTTTGACCACTTCCACGGGAACCGGATGTGGAACTGCGACCTGAACCTCGTACGGCTGAGGTATCGGGACCTTAATTTCTTGAGGCACTGGAACTGCGACCGGATGCGGAATTGGTATCGCATATTTCTTGTAAATCGGTATCTCCACAGGTTTCGAGGTTTCGTGATACGTGCTACTACCGTGTTCCTCGTTGTAAGAGGCCCACACCATGGCCACCATAGTGGCTAATATCTATAAATACAAATAAGTCATTAAAGTCAGCGTTCCGAACAATCCGATTCCGTCGTCAACGTGGCCGATACTAATCGCTTTCTCCACAATTCCTGTATTCTTTTTCTGGCAGTATAGTTTCACGGTATCCAGACCAACGCGTAGATAACTTGCTCCTCTAGCCGTCTTAGCGAACCATATTCGGAATGGTGTCACGCAAAGCGCAAGCAATTTCGTAATAAATAACTAATTGCAGCCTTACCTTATTTACACTGGCTTAATTGTAACATTGCCTTTCATGAGAAAAATAAGATCCGCTTTTCTTGTTTTTCATACAAGAGATCGACCATCATTTGGCATAAACTATGAAGACTTAATTGCTCAAATTCAAGCATCAAGATGGTAATTATGATTGCCGTTATAATGAAGGAAACATTCGTGTTTTGAATTATCTACATTCTAACGAATGTGTAACTGTTAATAGACCGTGTGATAGATCTAACAAGTGATATTGCTCAAGTATAAAATCTCTTCTTCTCAGTTTCACGAGAAAGGTCTAATACATGCAACGACGTGTTAGAATTGAAATTAAAGACACAGAGTGGCACTCCAGGTTATTTAATATAAGGTTTATCTTGAAAGGTACTCACGAATATTCTCATGATCTTTGAACTCAAGTGACGAAGACACACTTGCTGTGACAATCAGTTATTGAGATATCTGTTCGTGGAGCGTGCAACAGACTCTATGGTGCTTTCAAAGTCACGGTCAACTCTTTATATACCGACTCTACTTTCTCCCTTCTCTTTATTACGTTGACTCTAACTGTTCTCTGTGTAGAGGTACATGCTTGCATATATAAATGCTGTCTACGTGTATATCTATATGGGTATAACGACAAGCCCAAGAGTGGTCTAGCCTCCAATCTTCCTGACGTTCTCCAATTTTAGAATGAGCAAACTAAATTATCAAAACTTCATGTTAGATGAATTGCGGTATGCCCGCACCTAGGATTCCTGGATCCGTAACAAGCTATCCACTGCTTATTAATTACTCCCGTCCTAGTTATCATGCACGCAGACGATCACGTTATAACGCTGGCACATATCGCAGAATACAGTAGTAACGGCGAAGTAATAGTTTCTAACACCGTCGTCCTGGGTAGCATAACGAAATTAATTTGATGAGTATAAATCTTCTCAGAAGGTAATTATATACGTTGATTAAGGGTGATAACTCTCTCTTTACAGAATATGCAAATGCAAATTGTGTAGCATAAACTATTAATTGCACATCAACGTGTTGCATATATATTTGTGAAATCAAATTTTTCATCAAATTTTTCAAAGTTAAAATCAATTTTTTATTAGCAAATTATAAAAAAATAGTAGATAAAAAAACTTTCTGGTTAAATTTGAAGAATTATACGTTCCCTAATTTTCTTTTTCCTTTTATATTGTAGGCTTTAATTTGGATTCAGTTCTTGAAACTACAATAAAAATTAAATAGGAGATCTGTCGTGGATACATATCAGAAACAATAATTGGAGGAATTTAAAAATTGATTTAAAAGTTAAATGTCACATATAATGCATTACAGAGTTTATTGCACGAGTCATCTGCATGGAAAGTGACACGTGTGAAGTAAATTTAAACTATATACCATTTAACACAAATCGTTCGTAAAGCTTTAAGATAATTTAGTTAATTCTTACATTTTCGAAAAATATTGAACAACCAGAGGTGAAAAAAACTTTCTGATTAAATTTTAAAACTTATATTTCCTGTTTTTATATTTCCTGTTTTTTCTTCTTTATTCTATTAGGTAGATTATAATTTGACTTCCCGACATGAAAATTGAACAGAGAAGCCATTGAAGATATGTAACAGTTATCAAGATAGTTTAATCTACATACAGACACAACCATGTGAAAATTGTAATGATGCGTTAGCAATAGAAAAAGAATTAATAAAAATGCCATATTCATATTTATTTCACGTGAGTTTGTTTGTTTATTCTTCAACCATTAAAGTAATATTGTAAATCGGAAACCTAAACTAAAGGTAAAGTCAGAGAACGAATAACTTTAATAGTTAAGATGTAACAACAATCGTTATGACGTATTTCAGTAGTTACTAATAGCTACTAGAAAAGTAGTTATTAATAGTTCCTAGAAAAACAAAATGAATTTAAGACGCAGTATAACGGCAATTTGTCTTCTCATTGATACTTATATATCGCTTAAAGTATTATTCTTCCTCTGATCAAGTGATAAAACGGTTCTGAGATTCCAAGAGAGAGTCTCCGGCGCTCGCGCACGCAATCGTTTTTCCTACGTTGCTTTTTCATGATCACGGCCAGTTGCGTGTATAGGCGAGAGACAAAGATAAGCGATCAGCATAAATGTGGTAATGTCATGGTCTAGTTTGCTTGTTCAACAATCTGTAAATAAACGTTGCACGATTGCTGTTTACACCGAAATGCCGACACTCATGCAATTCATGAAACGCCGATACAATAACCTATTATTATATTAATACTGCACGATAAGAAACATTTTGTATTTATGTTGAGATTGACCTATATAGATATTATTGTTGTGTTAAATTTGTATTTGTGTTGTGTTAAATATTTAACATACTTATGCGTTAATTTAATATACTACCATGCTATTATTCTTATTATTTTAAATTATTTGGATTATCTTTACCATTTCTAAATGTTAAAATAACACAATTTATATGTAATACATATTTTCTCTTGGTAACATATTTTATATGTAAAATATACAGTTTATTGTGTTAATATATTAATATTTTTTTCTTTTTGTTAAATTAAGACAAAAATTAAAGTGGATAAATTAGGACGTGTAAAATATGCGAAATATAGCATCAAATTGTTTGCAGCATAAAAAGAATAAATGAATAAATAAATGAATAAATTAACAATATAATTTTACAATAATTAAAATGAATAAATTAACAATATAATTTTACATATGAGAAGTCGTACATGTTCTTAAATAATTACTAATAAAACGACAACTTTAACTTGTTTTTTAGACATTTCGTGCTTCGCCGCAAGCGACACCGAATGACAAAGTAATTTTCACGGAGGATAAACAATCGGACGTTTAGTATTTACCATAAAACTCCAGGAACAAAGCACTGTCTCGACCGCATGCAAAAAGTATCGTGCACATTACGATTCGTCGACGACCTGGAAAAGCGTGCCCGGCGTTCGAGCACGCAACTACCATGGATCGGCGCGGATGTGCACGCAGCGATATAGATTCATGAAAGGCAACATCGAGGGTGTGGTTGCACGACAGCGAGAGGGAGTGGGACCGATCTCAAGATTTAAATCGCGCACTCCATGCTCTGTCCGTATCTCCGAGCGGAACAGTGAAAGTGCATCCCAAGTAAAAGTGGTTTCACACGTCGGCGTAAGAACGCGCGCACTGCGCTCATTATGGCGAATCGAGATCGCGTATAACTCCCCCGTCTTCAGCCGGTTTCTTTTTAACTGATCGTAATCATGTCGTCGATGAGGAAACGAAACAGTAAGTTAACACAGGCGCACTTTTCGGACGATCTCCTTGTGCAAGAAAGAGCCATACGGAATTGAACGAGAGCGCAATCATCGAGTTAATCAGATTCCCCTCAAGCTTCCGTTTTTTAGCCGCTTTTTTAGTCGGATACAAAGAATCATACGTTATGCTTGGCGGCTCGCTTGATAATGTCATTATGTTTTAATATATCGTGATTTATTACGGTCTCTCAGATGTTTCATTGAACTTAACTAACATTTGGATCGGTAAGTAAAGTAAAGCGGCACTTCCAGTGGAAATTGTTTATTAACAAATCCTTAAGAACGAGTACGCATTTCACATGGAATCTATGAAAAAACTTAACAACGGTGAAGAAAAATAACGCATAACAAATTATCTACATAGCGGCTTGATAAGCTTAAATCCGCAGCTCAAGCTCTCTAACACACGCTATTACAATATTTCCATTTCGGTCAACAATAAATCTCTCTCAGAGGCGTTTATATAATTATTTAAATGATTTTGCGAACGCAGATCCTCTAGTGGTCTAGCTTCGCAAAACATTCATGTTAGTATACATGTTAGTATCGTTCCGGCTGAAGTCGAAGAGTTGTCCAGACTATATCTCTCAGCGTGTGAACGATTTTGACCTAATGATCAGCAAGTTTCAATGCCATCCTTTACCCTTGGATGAAGTATAATGAACTACGTGTTTGTATATCGGAACATGAACGGGATATGGTTTCGCCACTGGCACGGGGAATTTTTTCTCAACGTAGACGGGATATGGCTTCTCGACGACATAAGGTACCTGTGAAATATGAGCCAGTAGTTACATATAAAATAGTTTAACGTAAAGTTAAAATAGACACATGTATACACACATACAAAATATAAGTACGAAAAGTATTATGTTTTTATGTAACTTAAGGCTCTACAGGTAAGTTCCCATCCACAATAGATGTAACAAGCTTTAAGCCTTAAGAAATTGACCAATTATAGTCAAATTTGAGGAGAATAATCGACTATGATTGGTCAATTTCTAAAGGCTTAAAGCTTACTACACCTATTGTGGCTCGGGACTTACAGTTTAATTTTAATAGAGGAATAAGGCCATTAAGAGCCAATGCTAGATGTTCGTGCAAATATCTATGATTTTCCGGTCTTTACAATGTGCGCGATGAATCAATCTTCCACTTACAAACCGACCCTGAATCCCCTAATATTTTTATAATTTTTAAATATTTATTTTAATACGTCCCATGCGCGTTGATTCAATTATCGAGTTGCGTAAAATTGGGTTTTAAGAATTATAAAAATATTAGGAGATTCAGGGTCGATTTGTAAGTGGAAGATTGATTCATTGCGTACGTTGTAAAGATTAGAAAATCATTCGGCGCGTACGTTTGACATTACAAACACTATTATCCTTCCCATCATAGATATTATCTCAAACTATAACACTATTATATTCCCTATTATATTTGCACGAACATCCAGCATTGGCTCTTAATAGCCTTATATCTCTATTAATCTTTATTATGTTCTTATTTTCCTTATTAAAACTTTATGCTATTTGTGCATCAGTTGATCTAATAGAAGTGTATAGATAATAGAAAGAAATATGTAAGTATTTAAATATATGTATATAAATATATGTATATTTATATCATTCTATATAACTTATGAATTTTATACCGCTGTGTTTTTCAAACAAAACGGTTAGTAATTTTGAGATTCTTTTGAGATATATTAGTCTTCAATATCATAGTAATTTGGTTATTTTCGTAACATTTTCTTAATACAATAGCATTATTATTTTAGAAAAAAGGAGGATTAATATTTGTTAGTATTACTTGTGATTGTGCACAATGTAAAAGCAAAACTTATTATACTTCTACACTGATCGTAAATTACATAGCGCAGATATGAAATAGCGCAAGGATATCGACAATCAACATAGTGACGGAACTTACATGCTTCTCCACAATGACAGGTTCAGGTTTCTCAATGGGAATCTCAACGTGTTTGATCACTTCGACCGGATACGGGTGAGGAATCTCAATTGGTACTTTATAGGGTTGGGGTATAGGTATTTTAATTTCCTTAGGCACTTCAACCGGCACAGGATGTGGAATAGGTATAGCTGAAACAAAGGATGTAATTACATGTTTTTTCTTATAAGCCAAGCTTCTAGATATAATGTACTTCACTGCAAATACTGTATAAGAATACTGTATGTGTGTGTGTGTGTGTGTGTGCGTGTGTGTGTGAATATTATTTATGTTCTCGACAATTTATACTCGGGCATATAAATACAAGAGAGAACTGTCCACTATAAAATGAAAAATGGACTAACAAGTTGGAAAAATTCAAATTGAAGCTCCACAAAATATTAGCTCACCATATTTTTTAATTATTGGTATCTCCACATGCTTCGTTTTTTCTTCGTATGTGGAACCACCATGATCCTCGTCGTAGCCAGCGAATACTATGCTGCTAAACGATGCGATACTCCACAATAAAATCTGCAATTTCAAATTACATATCACTCTCTACAAATTTTTAGATTTCTGATATTTAAACAATAACATCGTAACTTAAAAAATATTTTGAAATTTTTATTATTTCAAAAACATAAAAAATAATTATGTTCAATTCTACAATTTTGTGTAATAATTATCTCATATAATAAATATAAATAAATAAATATATATATATATATATATATCCTAATTTTTCTCTAAAACTAATTTTAATTTCTAAAATATTTATGCACGTTATATCATTAAGTAAGCATCAATGAGCTTAATTTGATTCGTCATTTTTAAATTGTCACTTTATTCAGTTACATTAAGTAGCACTATTTAACACAATAAACACATATATCGCACGGCATGTTAGCGAACGCCTGGATCTTACAATTTGATTCATGTCGATGCTCAGACGAAGGCTAATGATAGCGCAAACACGTGGATTCGAGCGTTGAGTGACCAAGTAGCTCAAAGATCCAGCTTATATACTTCGATTCCACCACCTTTCACTGATATCCTGCGATGGAGTTCCGGTCCTTTCCAGGATACACCGTGCTACATTTCATACCGCGCAATAATGTTTATTATCCTGAAGAGGACGCTACTGTATATAGTCGTGATAAATATACGGAAAGATTGTTATACTCACGTACACACACGTTACACATGAGATTTTCTTCTTCCTCTAGCTTACAGATCATTACAGTGTGGGGTTTTTGCGCGGAAATAGATGTTTGATTATGTACATTATAAAATGTTAAGGACAGGGAAAGTACAAGTGTTAGTCTATACATGTTTTAGTTACGCCATCATACAATACCTGAATGTTTATTGCTGAGTTAAGAAACAAGTGTACAGGCAATGTACCTGGTGATTGTTTTTGTGTCTAAATTCTTTTTATATGATATATACGACGGGACCAACGCGACCAACAGAAGTAAATAAGAACTTCACGAGTCTTCCGGGTTTCGTTACTCGAGAAAGGCAGACAACTACGCGAACAGTGAAATATCCTGGAGGAAATGAAAATTATAAAGGTACATTCGAGCAACCGCAAATCTGCACGAGTATTCCGGAAATGGACGCTTCGTACATGTACGATCTCATAAAGATATAATGATATAATTTAAATCATATACTATTAAATATGAGATATGACTCTTTAATTATCTCTATATACTACAAGAATTGTGTTTAGGTTCTTAAGTGCCTTTTCTTTGAAGCTATGTTGATATAATTCCTGTAGAGTGACCATAAATTATGTTACAACTGCAGATACAAATTTGCGATATAATTCGATCGTTACTTGAAGCAACTATTGATTTTCTCGAAACGAAATCTACCGCGACTCGCCGAAGATTTCTTCGTCAAGTCGACTCGGTTCGGTGAACAGGAAAGGTGCGCCTAACGGATATACGAATTCGACTTCCGCTTACTTACATGAACATATAACCCGTCCGATAGACATGCGAGGTAATTCTCTCTGTGCCTGGCTTTTGGACTCATCAGAAAGTGAATGTGAAGTATATTATTGCAGGAAGAAATGTTAAAAAACGATACATTTTTCGATACGTCAGAATGAAAGTATGAAACACAACGCCCCGTGAAAGGGTCCCGGATGGAACATCGCGCTCTGGTCGGAAGATAATTGTGAAAGTCACCATGAAATAAGCTGAAAAATGGATTAGTAACGTAGTAGAACGCACAAAATATCCATTAAGTAATATCCCTGACCAAACCAAATTTGCTAACATTCGTTATGTTGATCATTTAGGAAGAAATAAGAAGAATCAATTTATAGAAGTATATATATAAAGAAATATAAAAATGTAGTTTGTGCTTGACTTGTGTGTTTCAGGAAGGAAAGAAAAATATAATCCCAATCTAGTATACTGAGGTCATTCACGACTTTACTCGATTTTTAATTTTGAACTATAAATTGCAAACTAGTAGAATGAGAACTTCTGGTTTGCACGCTACAAAAGATTATAGTTGGTAGGAATACGAGATTTAAGAGCAGAGTTAAGCCATTTCAATTACCTATCATATAAAAGAGAAAGTTGCTTTGGAATGGTTGCTGAACCCAATATGTCACTTGTCAAAATTTAAAATGAAGATAATTTTTCGTTATATCTTAAGGTTATTAAATATTATATAGAAGAAAAGTTCTTCTATATTAAATATAGTATAGAAACGAAGTTTTATATAAGTAACTTATATTTAATTTTGGCTGTATATTGCAGGATTAAGTCTTGTATAGTCAAACCCTAATCACGAACAAGAAAGATTCATATGTAACTAATCTTTATAATAATTCTAATAAAATTTATAGTGTGTAATAAATTGCAGAAATTTGAAACTATGAATCATCTCATTCGCTTCTTGACTGAAAAAACAATAATACATTTTTATATGCACAAATTGTAATATGTACCTAACGACAAATTGAAATATGTAATTCTTTTTTTTTCTTAAATATTTAAGTGATAACAAGAAAATTCTAGAATATTAATTTCTTAAATATTTACTTAAAAGAAGTTAGAAATTTTTATGTAGACTCACGTCTTCATCGCGTTTCATTTTATATTTGCAAGAAAATGGAATACTTAAGTGAATATTTGCAATCATTTCTGTACATAACTCGATTCTACAGACTCGAAAGTATATTTAATTTTTTTATAGAATTTCATTAGTACTTTTACGGAATGTGAATAAACGAAGACGAAAACGACTTTAGTATACCAGATTAAAGTGCTCGAAACACATGTATCATGTGAGGGAATTAAATAAATGAATGAAGAGTATGTAAAATTAACTGAAAGACGATCAACGTCGCGCATTATGTTATTCAATTTTATCCAAACCGTAACATTAAATGATAAAAATATCTTTGACATGTATGTATATTTATGTATTTGAATAATTATAAGTTATTTGCAAACTTCATCAGTCAATCATTCACATGGACGGTTTGTGATACGCGGAAGGAAATATATGTTGCTGATGCATGGAGAAACTCCGAGATAATTCTAAGACAGAGATTATCTCAATTAATGCTGATGTTGGGGCGATACCACTAATTTACTTCCGTGGAAAATTGGACGAACCTTGGTCGCCGTCGTCGCAGGAACTCACGATCTGTCACTCACGGGAATTCAGGCCCGAGGCTCGGTGCGATCTCAATTGTTCTTGGTGTATACTAATGGCGCAACAACCACGACCGAGGTCTGACCTACAACCTCGCCATTAGTGAAAGTGTTAATTTAGACGGCAATGTTCCTTGACACTGACAGAAGTCTCACCGTACAGTTCGATCGATTTACATATCTGTTATTATTTACTATCATTGCATATACGTTGTAATTTTAAGATTTGAACTTTTCTAAGGCTAAGAAACGGAAAAAACAGTGTAGTTGGTTTACACATAAATCTGCTAATATCAACTAGTTTCAACGTTGAATTTGATTGGCAAAATTAAATTTGTGTGGACCAATCATATTACTCTCTCCCTGTATTGTTTCATATTGAAATACTAATTTAAAATCTTTAACGGTAAGTAAAATAAAAAAGCGGTAAAGTTAAAATACGTTCTTTGGAAAACTGTGCGACATATATTGTATCTTAGAAGAAACAAAAATTGTAGAACGATACAGAGAGAGAGGGAGAGAGAAAAAGAGAGAGGGAGGGAGAGAGGAAGAGAGAGGGAGGGAACTAACAAAAATTTTATTTATTATAAAATTACATATATTTATTATAAATTTATTATAAAGTTGCATGTATTAAAATTCAAATGTAAATTATAAAAATTTATAAAAGAAAGACAATGTTTTCATATTATCTACTTGATAGCAGAGACCAAAATGCGTTGGATTTAAATGTATAAACTTCTTCAATCTCGCGTACGATAAAACTCCTCCGAAAGGTAATGTAACGCGCCAGAAGATTTAATGATCACTTACGATAATAGATCTCGCCGTGAATTCACACATAATTCTCCTCCAGCGGAAATAACTCCTCCAGCGTCGAAATAACGAGCGTAAGTCAACGAATCCGGCGGTAATATAAAAAAGGGACCTAAGGAAAGAAATTCGCAGCGGGAAAAAGCCCGCGGCGAAAGTAAAGTTCAAAGTCGATTTGCTCTGTCGACAATCACCGTGATCGCGCCGCAGCAAATGGAAGGAGCCGACCAGTGGTGATTGTGTATTAAGTATTAACGCGCACCTTCCTGATTCAAACCGCTGGAGGTTACTTATCCGTACGCGACGCATCGACAAATTTGCTCGATCGAGCGGCTTTCCCGTAATTGAAGAGTATCGATCTCCTTGCGAACCCAGAAACATAGAATTATGACACTATAAGTCACTTGTAATTGTGCTCACGAAGATGAGCGCACGAAACTGTATTTACTGAACGATCAGAATACAAAACGAATAAGATGAACTAACGACAGTTATTCGCTAGTTATTTTCGTTTTCTTTTTTTTTTAATTTTACATACAAAAATTTCATTAAAGTACAAAAATTAAGAGGAGGCTGGAGTCGATGACGAACTCGAACAATATTGATAGTGCAGAGACGATCGTCACTAACACGATTACGCTATCCTTTTTCTATTTCTTATACATACAGAAATTACGTGCGAAATTATATGTGTGTTGTTTTGTTTTGCTATATTTAGCGGAAAACCACGCATGTGTAGAAATCTTCCTGCAAACTTTTTGGATATTTTTAAGCTTTCTTCTGTATTCATATGCAAAGATACAGTAACGTTCTTCAAAATTTTTCTATTTGAAACATCACACTTTCGGTATGTACAAGCTACGGAACTTTTGAATTGGGTAAATATTATGCTAATATCGCGCGCGCTTGAGATTTTCCGTTTAAAACTTTTTTTTGTTGCATGTATTTATTTTTGTATGTACTTTCATTACGTAAAAGCATTTGTAATTCTGTACAATCAATGTCACGTAAACTTTACAGAAAAATGTTAGTATTTGATACAGCTTTCAATTTCAATATCTCTTTAAGGAGACTTGAAGAGCGATATGATGATCTGAATACTTGGAAATGAAAGAAAAAGATTTGCGATCGCAGTCATCTCGAACGCTTCACAGACACTAAAACGTTATTATCTTTTTCTTTCCCTTTTTTTTTACCTGGAATCGTTACGTCGCGGGAGATCACTCTTCCTCCTTTTACAACGATCGAGACTATCACGACTGGAGAAAGAGGCAATATGTAGGCTTACCTTTCGCTGCTGTTTTTTATCGCTGCCGTGCATTCATTGCTTTCCACTGTTATCCTGTCTTTTTCCTTTTTCAGGTGTACAGGAAGATATTTGTATTACATAATTTTTGCAATATGGAAGCATCTTAATCTACTTTTGTTTGTTTTAATTTAACGTTCGCCGGTATTGAGATAATAATTAAAATGTGAGTTCTCATGACGCGATCCTTTTCACTTTCCACAATGTCAAGAGGAAAGAAAGAGAATGGAATTTATACACTTCACTTTCCATGTTGATCCTTCCGCGTGTAGATCTTTGTTGTTTCATCTCTTTGACAATATGACATGAGCGAATTGTTATGCGATATTATCTACGATATTTCTCATGATATTTGCAAGATAGAAAGTGAAATACAGAGAAATATGCGGATATTTCCTGTGATCTTAGTAGTACATACAATTAAGGTTCCTGAGTATTCGCGAAAATCTTAATTTGTGATGTCAGAAGCGAGAAAACGCATACCCAAAATTCCTGAGAAATACATTGAAATAAAATAATTTATCTATAAAGTGATGTATCAATAAAATTTGTGATTAATTGAGAACGCTTCTAAAATATTCCGAAAACTCTTCTTGCTCTAATAACACTACTCAATAAATTTTGATTCTCTTTTGCAATATAAGTGGATACAGTTATTTTGGATGTATTTTTGACTGCTGAACACAAATTCGTTGTTCAAATTTTATGTCAAATTTCACATCACAATTTTTAGAAAAATAGAGTAAAAAGAGCCAGAATAACAATTTTGGTGGACTTCATGACGTTGTAACAGTGACAGAAAAGTGACAGAATTCTTTTTAAATTTCATTAATATCTTATGAAAATATGATCTATCTTTAAAATACATTTTTTTAGTTTTCATTTTTCATTTTACACATATAGCTATTTAAAAATAGCTTTTTCTTCATATTAAATGGAAAAGGTATTTAATTTTATCTTAATATCACATTATGTGAAAAGTATTTTTGTATTTACTTAATACCAATCGGAAAGTACTTAATATAGGAGAAACAACTTCAACAATTTTATTTACGCGTTTGTCTATAGTAATGGACAACAATATAGTCTATAAATAACTATTTTTAAATAGCTGTATGTCCAAAAAAAAGTTGTACTGAACTAAACAAAAATTCATTTTAAAGATAAAAATTTATACTTCCATAGGGCGTTAATGAAATTTAGGTAAAAATTTTCTGCCATTGCTACAACGTCATAAATTGCTAAAACGTCTCTAAAAATTATCGTTTGGATTCATCTTACTTCATTTTTTTAAACTATAACGCGATAACCAAATTTGAATAATAGGTTTTTATTTAACGGTAAAAAATGGATTAGAAATTATAATTCACACGCATGTTACAAAATAGTATTAGACAGTATGATCAATAAATAAATGTAAAATTAAGGTCAAATGTGGCCTTTCATTCTAACCTTTCTTTACTAATAATTTTGTCCCATTATTTGTTGATCTGTTACTTGTTGATTGAGGAGTGAAAAGAAAGTTTCCGGGGCATATTTTACAAATGTGTTTAATCAATTGCAAGTGTAGCATGTTATGGATGTATTTTTCTATTTCAACGAATTTATTTCTGTAAGAATTTTAAATATATTTTCGTTTCTCTCGCTTTCTTGATGTCATTAATAAAGATAACTGCGGCGAGGGTACAAGAATCTTAATACACAAGAGTATAGGGAATGCCATGCCTCATAGAGAAAGATAGAATAGTAAAAAGTAGAATATTAAAAATAGAATAGTAGAATAGAATAGTAGAAAGTAGAATATTAAAAAGTAAACAGGATTTACTTTAATATTTACATGTACACATATCTGGATATACCAGAAAAAGCAAGTGATTTTTCACGCTAATATGTATCATAAATTATTTCATGTTGTATCATAAATTATTTCAAAACTTCGAATGTAATTGTAAACGTCGTCGACTTAGTAGAAAATATTGCTCGTTCTAATTAGGAATGACTGGCTTCTCGAGTTCTGCGTTCATACAGTCGTTCACGTATCATACCAGTTTATATCTAATATTTTCAAGTTACGAATCAGGCGACGATTGTGCACTGCACACGTTTATTGACTATGCAAATTCGACGTCCATTCAGGAGATAGTTTGAACGGTGAAACTTTGTGTGTCGCTGATTAAACACCAACTAAACTAATTGCCATAGCGCTCGTTAGCACAAGGCGAACCACAAAGAAAATTGATGTTTTTATAACCTCTACGATGTCTTGATACGAGTCTGAAGAATTCATAATGGCCATATAGTATGTGATCATAAAAATAACGAGCACGGTATTTGACTGCCGCTAACATCTCCTTTCAATTTACTACATGATTTCAACTAGTAAGTAAAATTACGAGGTATTATAATATTAATAAATTACTACTTAATATTAATAAATTAATTAATAAATTATAATATTATAAATTACAATATATATTATAAATTATAATATGTCGATTTTTGCTCATCAGTTCCACTTGCCACGAAGCGATTTATGTTTTGATTGGAAGTAAAACGCGGTTTATGGCTATTTATCGCGTATAATATTACAGTGTAATGGGCAAATTGAACAATTAAATGAGCCCTTAATTACAAAAATATTTCCAAATATAATCGCCCAATTTATATTCTACAAAGATAAACATTTTGTAATATGAGATTTGGCATTTATTATATATTTTAATAAAACAACAGCTATACAGTTATACAATTAACATCAATGGTTATACAGGAATATAAAAGCTATATATACACGTGTAAACATTTATATAGGCAAAAGAAATTTCGTAAAATCAAAATAATCTAATAATTATTTCTTGAATAGAAAATTAAGATAAAACTATCCATGTCGTCGAACACTTTTAATAAATAACATGCATTGTGGTAACTTTATTCTCTTTATACATCATAAGCGTGTTCGATCTTTCATTAAAGATGTATATAAATAATGTAATAAATATATCAACAATAATCATGTTTCTGTGAACGCACGTTATCAATGGCCTTTGATTTTGTGAACGATTGTTTTGTAGACTGGAATCTTGATTGGAATCGGTTTTTCGACTGGTATAGGTACATGTTTTACCACGTGAAAAGGCACTAACTTCTCGATCTTAACCGGAATTATTTTTTCAACAGGCGTCGGTACTTTTTTCTCAATTGTGTTAAATATTGGCTTCTCCACCTGGAAAGAGAGCGGTATGGGTTTAGCGACTTGAGATAATGACAAGTGATTTTATCGTCAAGTTAAGCTAATTATCTTGCGGCACCTCATATGGTACGGGCTTCGATATCACCACGGCGACAGGATAAGGCTGTATAACCGTTTGCACCACTGGATGCGAAACTCTCAATGGAAATTTTTTGATCATTGGTACTCCTATCGTAAGTACGTAAGTACATGCAATATGAAAATGATAAGATACAACTAGTTGGCTATTTCAAAATATATGATAATGGAAAATATGGTAATGTAGATTTAATTTAATCTTATTAAGTTATTTTACTACTTACAAGGAAACCCACACAAGTGTGCGCCTCCGATTTTCATGAACTTGTAATACATTGTACTTTAGATCAAAATAAACATTGTACTTTAGATCAAAATAATACATTGTACTTTAGATCAAATAACAGATACGTTTTTTATTATATGTGCTCTTTCGCAAATTTAGGGGGTGAAATACTCCTTTGAAGAGAATCGTTTTTTTTTATTCGAAAAAAATATAATAAAAACTATAAGAGATAGGAAAAAATATTTTTAATAAAAATTGAATAGTTTGAAGAGTACTTTACAGAAATTATTTGAAAAAAAATTTTTTCATTACTATTTCCCCCAGCACTTCTTCTTATTATAATTATTAAAATAATTTCTGTAAAGTACTCTTCTAACCATTCAACTTTTATTAAAAATATTTTTTTATCTCTTATAGTTTTTATTATATTCCCTACGAAAAAAAAAATTTTTAAAAAGGTATTTCATCCCCTAAACTTGCGAAAAGGCACATATAATAAAAGACGTATCTGTTATTTTGATCTAAAGTACAACATATTACAAGTTCATGAAAATCGGAGGCGATTTTCACTTGTGTGGGTTTCCTTGTTAGTATTCTAATATATGTATAGATGTATGTAGTAGATATTCTAATATATGTATAGTATTTTAAAAATATGTTATGATATGATGTCATAATAGTTTGCATCATTATCGATTTCTTTTGTGCAAAGAATTATTTACAGATTTAAATTCTGTCAAATAAATCGAATCTTTAATTAATATTTCTCTCTTTCTCTGTTACCAAAGCACAGTTTTGTTAATGTACGTTAATAAGTCGCAAATAGTTTCGCACACATTGACAAAGTTAATACAATTTATATTACCGATGTGTTCAATAACAGGAATAACATGGCCTCCGTGAAGATTGCTTATATCCGAATGCCATCCACTAACTTTATTTGAAAATAGCGAATGATCTTCCATAAAATTTAAAGAATGATCATCTAAAAATTAAAGCCACATATCAGTATCCATTTATTTAACAGTTTACAAAGTTCCAATCACGTACTATTATTGCCTATTACTACCGTAAATCAATACTATCTTAAATATATGTAAAATATATGCAAAAAGCGATACTGCTATCATTAATATGTAGGCACGCATTAGTAAGCCTTATTAATATAAGGCACGCATTAGAACGAGATAAAACGTAAGACTGATGGTCAACTAAATATAGACAGCCAAACCTGTTTCTCCTAGACTGAAAGCACCCAAGTCATGAGGGTTTACAGAAATCTCTCCCAACGTAAGCCCACCTCCGCCATGGCCTCCAAAGTCCCAATTGGAACAGTAGGAGCAAGTAATAACTCCAAACAGCACAATCTTAAATAACAAACGTTAAACATCACTGTAAAAAACATAATGCAAAAATTAAGAAGCAAATATCCGCTGCACAAATTGCACAAAATGCGTTGCATAGATTCACTTAATATTTAGAGAGTTGAAGATCATGTTGAGATAATTTAGTTAATTTTAGTTAAACGCGAGTTCTTATTTGCGTTTAAGTAATTGTGTAACTGGATTGACTCGTACAACTTTTTTCATCGTTTATCTTAGAGATGTCTCTATCGTCCATGAATAAGTCGTCTACTTGAGACAGATACTTTTCGTCGTCAACTTATATACCGTCTGCGCTGAGAAACAAGCAACCCCACTATTCTTTAGAATGATGTCTCACACCTTCACTGTGCAAGATACCGTGGATGGCTCGATTGAAACTAATCGTTCACTGTCACCACTGCAAATCTTGCGTAACATCTAATACCTGATAGTCAATAATGACGTATTTATGGTCAATAAACCCCTTTTTATCTGTACCATTGAACATTCTTATATAAATTTTCATGTGTCTGTTCACATTTATAACATTATTGATTTACACGAATTATTTGGCTTGTAATTATATTCGATATATTAATACAAATAGAGAAGAAAAGTTATTTTCATAGAAACATTAAGCTTATTTCTCTTTATGTGTATGTTTCTCAAAATCTAAAAAAATTTCGTAATATTATAATCCGTAACACAAATAATCAGAAACGAAAACATCACAACCAAGTTCGTTTTTTTAATAACACCTTAATGTTTTCAGGAATAAAATTGTTAAAGACAAGACTTTACAATAATTACTTTCGTATTGATTGATCTTCTAGTTCTGCGTGTAAACTTCTTGGTTTTGTCATCCCGTGGAAAATCATATCGATTTATATTAATTATTTTTAGTCGCATGTTTCGTCGGTCATTTCTCATTATAAAGTGCAAGAATCATTAAATTCTTCGAATCTCGTTGAGTACAATGATACTCCTCGTTGTCATGGATGAACTGCTACGTGCCATCACGATGATCCTGTCCACCGTGAACAAATCAATCTGTCTAACATCCACTTTCCACAGAATTCCCGATGCTTTTATCGAAAATCATAGTGAAAGTAGTTGTTACTGTCGCTCTACGAGCGAAACGCATAAAGGACTATAATCGTTATTTGTTTATGTATATTGTTATTACGAACACACAAATTTGCAACTTTGTTAAAATGTTATTACATTTAACAACTTACATTTTAAATGTTTTATAGCCAACTGTAAGTTTACTGTCATGTTGTCGACAACAAATAGAAACTAATTTAAACAAATTAGGAATAAGATGAGAGCATTATATGTATCACATTGAACTCATTTGAATTCTAATTCAAATAACGACAAATTAATAGCAATACATTGACGCAGATTTATAATCCGTTAAAAAGTTTTTGTCATGATGCTGACAACGTTGCTACTATCGGTTTGCTCTTGAAATTTCGTCATCTAAGTAAAAGCAATCATGTTGTTGCATTCAGTAACGCGTTCATTACATGTTAACAAATATACAGCAAACATTTAACAATACTTGCTGTGCATTAGTTTACTCAAAATACTCAGCCACATTTGACTATTTGAGTGGCTTTATACATATGACAATGAATACGTAGCTATAAGATCAGAAAAGAGAACGATCAGCTTTTTTAAATAATTTCGTAAATTTTTTGAATAACAAATCAATGTGTAATTTGTTAATAAAGGAATAATGTAGCATAAGGTCTAATTATTTGCATTTCAGAAATATTCAATAGACGAATAGACGATGAACGAGTCTAAATAATTATTCACTAATTAAAAAGAAAAATTTACGATATTGACACAATATTACGTGGCTATTAGAACGTTCTGAGCCGAATCCAGTCGCCCGTCATCATCACAAATAACGAGTGCGATCCTTAACTGCGCTTAAGTGCGCGATTGTACGTGCGCGAGCTCGTTATTTTAATTTATTAAATTACTGTGGCACTTTCTGATGTACTAAGGAACATGGTGAAAAGCGTATCGCTGGTGAACTTTCACTAGACAAGAAAAACAGGTAAGAGAAAGAAGCATGTGGTTTTGTAAATATTTTATTTAAAAACGAGAAAACAACAAAGTTAAAAAAGGCTAAACAATGCTCAACAATGCGCCGGCTATATCGACGCGCTTGATGCGATTATATATTATATACAAAAAAATAAAAACAAATCGCAGTCGAGTAGCACGGAGTAGTAGCTCGATCAACGGAACGAACGTGAGTTTTTTTCGTGAACTTTCACTTTATCGACAGCGGCGTAGTGCTGCGTTTAGGGATTAGGACTATCAAAAGCGGCAGTCCCTTTCATTTCGAGTTGATCGACTCTTATACATTGACTCCTACCACGGTAACGTACTGTCGCGTAAGATTGAAATGAAGTTAGTACGTACGATTAGATTGACCGCAAAGCAAACCAATTGTTTTAATAAAATATTAAACACGCGTAATTACTTCTCAAGAATTTTGCAATCTAAGTGACTTAGCTCGAAATATTTCAAGGTAGATGCGTAATTATGCACAATAAATTACTCATTTAACGTACAAACTTAAACATCCTAGCTCGATCTAACTAACTAATCGAAATTCACTAAATGGATAAACATGGATTGCTAAGGGTCCCTTTTAGACTAAGACGTAGTGTTCCTCTTTCCCTCGCGATGAGAATCCTCAGATTCGGTTCTCGAGCATGCTCCTAATGACCTTTCTTCGCGTGATGGTAAATGGTTTTGTAGACGGGAATTTTAATGGGATACGGCTTCACTACCGGAACGGGAATGTGTTTCTCGATCGTGATAGGAACTGGCTTCTCGACGGGTACTGGTATATGCTTCTCCACAGGATAAGGAACCTTCTTCTCCACCGGGACAGCCACCGTCTTTACTACCTGTATGGGAATGTGCTTTGGTACGGGCACATGAACTGGATAAGGTTGCGGAACGCCTACCGCAATCGGATGTGGCACAGCTATCGGCACTTGTTTGGGTACCGGTACACCTGAAAGGAACATTTGTTGGAACATTAAGATGCGCGAAATCAATGAAGCAAAACTAATTGGAGCATTTTGATTCTTAAAGAAAACACACACACACACATATATATATATATATATATATATATATATATTATTTTTTTCAAAGAATCAAAATGCTGCTTATGTCTTTCGCGCGAAATCAATGAAGCAAAACTAATTGGAGCATTTTGATTCTTAAAGAAAACACATATATATATATATATATATATTTTTTTTTTTTTCTTCAAAGAATCAAAATGCTGCTTATATATATAAGGTCTATTTAAAAATATCTGTGTGCATACCAAATATTTTATATACGTAATTTAACAAGTTATTTCACTTTTTTGCAATGTACACGAAAAAATAATTCAGTTAGTATAACTAAATTTTTTATTACTTAAAGACCAGATGAACATTTCGGTTATACGAACAGAAAGATTCCCTTACGAGATTTTTACTCAACCGAGTTTTAATGCATTTAAATATTTAGGCAAATGTTTTCGATCACAGTAACAGGAATATTATTTCTCGTCAGCGAATCTTTCGTCTAGTCCTCCTTCAATTGTACGAATTAAGTTTTTCTCCATATAAATAGATGAAAACAATAATAAATCCGTTTTCCACGATCGCTAATCAAGAGACACGACATTTATTGTGACAAGTTCTGATTTCTTATGTGACTTTCAGCGATTAAGGAGGAGACAATAGGAGGATACGTTACCGACGTGTTTGTAGACAGGCACGGCTACAGGCTTCGTCACTTCGATGTGCTCAGAGACGGGAACACTGTGAACATGATTGGGCCCACCGTCCAGGGAGATCCCGTGACCACCATCGTCACCACCGTAACCACCGTCAAATCCACCACCGTGACCGCCGCCGATCGACGAGAAATCCTGATGACCGCCGTCAAATTGACCGCCAGAGGATTCTAAGTGCCCACCGACACCACCATCAAATCCTCCTCCCCCGTGACCGCCGCCGAAATCTCCACCCCCGTGGCCGCCGAAATCTCCACCCCCGTGGCCGCCGAAATCACCACCCCCGTAACCACCGCCGTAGCTACCGCTGGCGGAAGTACTGACGCTCTCTTGATCAGATCGATCAATCGGATATGGGGCATAAAACTGCATCAGGTAGTGCCCAACATCTTGGTTCACGATCACCGGCTTGGCCGCGGCCAAGGATACCAGAGAAAGCAGTACCTATGTATAATAATAAAATAGAAAACGGCGAAGATAAGAAGTATCACTTCACTTGTGAAAGGTACAAGGATACGTTACCGACGTGTAAGATAACCGATAGTAAGATGTTGAAACTTTAATTAAATTGAAAATTGAACTGTTGAATAATTCAATATTAAATTTTCAAATTGCTACCTTTTCCTTATTGATAAAGCCATTTCTTACTTTTTATGCGTCTACGCATCGCTAATTGATTATTAAACGTATTGTCTTACGTTATAAAAAGTCGCTGAAATTATAAAAACAGTTATAATCTCATTAGAAGCTACTATGAAAAAAAATGCGGGCTAAAGAAGGGCGAAACAATGCCTTAACTAGGCGAATTGTGCTTTGAAATGTCTCATTCGCTAAGAATGCATGATGTACTCACGATTTTATTCATGTTCGGACGTTTCGGCTGCACCGCTGCTGGTGGCGTAAGTCTCCTCTACGACTGATACATCTTTGGCCATTTCACGTCTTAATATATACTGTGGGGCCTTTCACTGTAGACGATGTAATTTCGTCTCGCTTCGTACTACGGCGAATTACACCCGCCCGATGCAATTGTTTCACCGCGGTCGGCGCGCCGCGCACGTGAAAATAATTGACCATGGGCTCGCGGCCTTCACATTGACAGCGAACTAGACATTTTCTATTCCGTTCCACACAGTGAGTGTCCACGCGCGGATTTTCACGTTCGCTTTACCGCAGCTCGCCACACCGTCACTCTAACATATTATTCGTTCGAGCGTCGTTGAACTTGTACATCGTTCGTTTCAAAATCGCCGCTCTCCGCGCTCCATCTGGTTACTTTAATACTATGCCTTAACCCTCTCGCTATCAACAGGACATATATTTTCCCTCTCAGTAATAATGATCTTATTCAATTGAATAAACAGCTTTTTTGGCACTCGGAACACATCAGCTGTCATTATACCTATTACAGCGTGTTGAGACAAATACTTTCAAAAGTAGGTTCTATCCTTTTGATGTCAAACTTTTAAATTTTTTGCCAAAACTACGTTATTCAACTACGTTATTAAACTACGTTATATTCAATTCACACTCTATTCAATGAAGTGAAAATAAAAAGAAACTATTCCTTTGAAAAACGAAATTGGTAGCGAAAGGGTTAAATTGATCGTGGGATTTCATTACCTAAATAGAAGCTAGAAAATTTCTTCTTGAAAGGTAAGTTATTACATAAAACTGAATTTCTCCATCGAGTTCGTTTCTTGCTTAACGTAATGATTATTCGTAAAGGAAGAAATACATTCGCATCATCGATAACGATGTTAATGTACTCTCGTTTTGCATGTCGATAAATCATATTATTTCCAGCCATGAAGCTGTTAACCATGCTATGCGACAAATAGCGATTTAATCGCGAAACGCAATGGACCAATTTTAGCGCGCGCACGCACGCACGCACGCATGCAACTGTGATAGTCGTACATGTGAAGAGAGCATAACGAATTTGTGAATGGTGCATCTGAGTGCATGGCGCATTAGTCTTTTATTATTATAGTAATTAAAAAAGAATTGTTCCCTTAAGAACTCTGCGCCACAAATTTTTCCGAAACTTTTAGAAGGTTTTTGGGATTTTCATTCTTAATTTTCCTTTTTTCTTAAAGTGAATCAATGAATAACCACTGATATCAGTTATAATTATAGCACTGAGTAGTTTCAGTGTTATATTTATAACTGCAAATCAGTGTACATTCACTGCTTTCAAAGATGTTTCACTGGTTCACTTTAAAAGAGTTCAGAGGAGCAAAAGTAGAAAATGCGTGTTATTATTAATATAATTGCCTAAAATATTTGTATAAAACACATCTTTACGCAAAATAATAACGATTAAATCGTCATCTTTGGAAAATATTTAAATAACAATATATTAGTTGAAAGTGTGTTTTATATTTTTATAGATATGATATACCTAAAATTTTGGAACAAGTTATTATATAAATGTACTATCTTTTTCAAATTAGTAATAAAAGTGAAATTAATGAAACGAAATCGATAAACAATAAGGAATAATAAATACTTTCACGCATCGGACCAGTTCGAGCTTGGAAAAGAAATGAAATTGCTGGCTAACTGAACTGAACTACTTCCGAAGAATCCAAAACAAATTGCAACCCATCGAACAATTAATCACACCAGTTGAAGACATAGTTAAGGATACTTTATCAAAGAAATGATCGAAAAGAGACCTTCAACCAGTTGCTTTAATTAATTACTGATAAAAGTTGCTCATTATGATCTCAATAATTATAATGTGTTTGTGAAATTACACGGAAATGAAAGGAAGTGAACGTCCATGTAAACTTACATAACATAAATCACATTGCAAGTCTCACGTATAATGTTTTCCTACGGAAAACGCTACAAACATCAAAGTCACATAAAATGAAAATAGATTTTTAATGTAGCATTAATCATATTTTTTTAAATATGACATATACTCCAAAAATTAAATAAGATCGCATTAAGAGAGAAAGGAGCAAAAATAATTTGCAAAATATTTTTAATATATATTTCTAAACTTTATATATTTCAGTGATAATGTAGTTTTCGCATAAATACTATTATGCATGTTTTTACGTAACAGTATCTTTGGTGATTAAACATCTTACGTCAAAAGAAGGAAGTGTTTTTGTGGAAAAAAGAGGAAAAAAGAATGGACAATAATATGTAAAATTTGGAGAAAAAGAGACTTAAGAGAAATTAATCTTTACAGTCCAGGCTTTTATTGGCGGTTTTAAAAAATTCTTATAGCTACATAGAACTTTATTCGTTGTTTTAAATACGTTAAAGGATGGATTAATAAAAACATAATATCCCTGCCACACAAGTGACTTTTCGGGAAGTACAGTAACTATTTTTTCAAATTGATTTTATTTCTTATTTAATCATACAGATGTATGATTGTATCATGTATTAACAAATACATTTGTACATTTTTTCTTTAAACTTTTATTTAGAAGATTTTATAAGTTTTTATATTTAAAAATATTTTTTACTAATTTGCATAAAAAGATAGATAATAATAACGATAATAATAATAACTATAGTTGTACTTTATAAAATTGTGTACTTCCTTATATCCTATTAAGAATATCTAATTAAGAATAAAAGAATATAAATTCATTTATTTTTAATAAAATATATAGTGTTTCTGATGGTAAAATAAAAAACGCTCATGTATACGTAGATACGTAGATAAAATCATCAGACGATAATAAGAAAAAAGTTGAAATATAAAGCAAAATTATTATTCGCATAAATTTCAAAGAATGTGTTATTCGTATATACATTAATATGAAATAAATATGTTTGTGTGTATTAGATTTGGTTTCCGAGTTTGAGCCGCGTGGATTCATTTTTGTTTGATTCCGACGTTTCGCGAACATTTCAGTCCGTTTCACCAAGGAGGAACGACCCAATGCATTCTCCCTGATGAAGCGGACTGAAATGTTCGCGAAACGTCGGAATCAAACAAAGATGAATCCACGCCGCTCAAACCCGGAAACCACATCTAATATGCATGTACATCGCGAAAGCCTAAAAAATCAAATGTTTGTGTGTTTCGCGCGCGCAATTTTTCTTATTTAATCGTGTAGAAACCTTTCGTGTATTAGAAATATGAGAAATCATATACATATTTATGTTTGGCAACATTTTTTATTCGCCAAAATATATAATATTATATAATAATAAAACAAAACTACACAAAAAATAAAAATTCTAAGTATCTATTATTATTGTATTTGCATAAACTTCTAAGTATATTATTAATAAAATATATTAAAAATTGATATAACAAATACATTTGTACATTTTTTCTTTAAACTTTTATTTAAAAGATTTTATAAGTTTTTATATTTAAAAATATTTTTTACTAATTTGCATAAAAAGGTAGATAATAATAACGATAATAATAACTGTAGTTGTACTTCATAAAATTGTGTACTGCCGCCCCATTATGATGGCTTCTCGGATTGTAAGGGATAATAGATATAATAGATAAAGCGGTCTACTTGCGTTTTCATTATTAATTTTATTGCTGACATTTTCTGAAACATGTATAACAACAGGTAAGAAACGTAACGCATGTAATAAGAAATTATATTTTTTATTAAATAAGATCATTATTTGGCAACAGGTAGACACGCCAAAGCAAGTATAAATACAACTTATAAGTACAGTCTGTCTACAGAAAAGAAGCGTATACTATATTTCGCATCATCAACGACTATGACAGCAAATCGCAACGCTTATAACTCAATAAAAGTAATCATGATGAGTTTACCGCAATATCGCAGCGTCATCTGGCTTCACGAAGGACGCTTCACGAGCCGTCTCTCGGACGGCTACTGCTAGAATCACGTTTAATCGTCATGAAACTTTCTTCAATGTATTCAACCATGGTAGCCATGGTGGCCGCGACTTCTCGTTTTCCGGTGGAAAACGTGCTTGTAAACTGGTATGTGAATCGGATACGGTTCTTCCACTGGCACGGGTATGTGCTTCTCCACTGTTATCGGCACCGCTTTTTCCACAGGCACTGGTATGATCTTCTCCACCGGATACGGCACCTTCTTCTCCACCGGAATCGCGATGGTCTTCACGACCGGTACGGCGACCGGATGAGCGACCGGTACGTGAACAGGGTAAGGTTGGGGAACAGCTATAGCCACAAGATGAGGCACAGGAATATTCACGGGTTGCGCCACTGGAACACCTATATTATTTCCACGAACAGTCCAAATTTTAAATTTCATTTATTGAGAAAAAAATGAATTTCTTTATATGTAAGGTAATTGCTTCAGTAATTTACAAAATAACGGACAGTTCTAACTTTAGAAAATTATTTTCTCTGTCAACATCGATACAACACAAAAAAATACGTATAGCATTCAAGTAAATGTTACTTATGAAATATTTGTTTCAAATAATTCATAAGTTTATATATCCACAAATTTATTATAAATCTATCATAAGCATTAAATTTATTTAAAATACATTCTAAATAAATCTTGATAAAATCCTAAAGTCAATATTCGTTTTTCTTGGCAGTAGAATTATATTTTTCTATGTAAATGATGTGAAATACCAAGTTTTATTAATGTTTGCTATAATAATGCCGAATAATATACATGAAACGAAATTACATTTCCTGTGAGATAAAATGTTATTTATATTAATATATAATATTATATGTAACATTATTTATATATATATATATATATATATATATTAATTATATTAATATTATTATCAACTGACTTTTTTACTGAATAACGTAACGCATTCATGATATAATAATGTATATATAATATATTGCCTAATTCTCCATTTATATATTTATTTATAATAGATAAACGAAAAACTAAACTTGTGGAAATGCTTATTCCAAAAACACCGACGTAGCGACTGTATGCACTTAACTGAGAAAATAGGAAATGCGGTGGAGATGTATATAACTTTACTCGTTATAACCGCGAAGTTTCGTAACGTGCTTTAACATTCAAACGGAAATGCAACTTTTCTCTGAGACTCGCGTGTCGACTAAATAAATGAGAACGTTTCTTCTGAATTCTACTTTTATAGACGATTCAAAATGCAACATTAAGTATCTAATGAATACATTTCTTTGTAATCTTCTAGATGCATGAGTTATTTATGTAAATCGCCATCCACTATCTGCAAATTTCGACATTTATGTTTATAACATGGCTTGCAAAACCTTACCGATATTCTTTACGACTGGCACTGGCACCGGTTTCGTGACTTCCACGTGCTCGCTGATTGGCACTGATTGTGCGAATGTGTGCTGAACGTTCCCGGTATTAAGTCCATGGCCTACGTGAAGATCACCAGCACTTCCGTAAGAAGAAAACGATCCATAAGAAGAAAGATCCTGATGACCGTTTATATCGTTGCCGACGGAGCCATAATTCGTGGCTCCGTAATTAGACACGCTGTGTATATTAAATGCATATGTGATAATTAGTGGCAAGATAATGAGATATGCTACGAGAGGAAGCAGTGAGAACGACCAAATTTTCTCATCGCGTCTACTCACCCGTGCCATCCGGAGTCACTCCTTCCTGTGAAACCAGCGAACGTTGTGTTTATTAATGAACATGCAACGAGTATCTGGAATATAATCAAATTAATGATAATTCTTTACTCGAATTTTTCCAATCAATCTTAATTTTTCAATATAATATAAGGACTCATGATGATAAGTAAGCAGTAAGTAAACACTTGATAAGAAACAAGTCACACAAATTATTATTATAAGGATGCGTGTTTTTTTATCTTTGTTGAATAGTTATGATTTTTAAAGTTTATAATTCCGAAAATGAAGAAAAATAAAGTAAGCAAGAGAGTAAACGAATTTTAAATAAATAAAATTTTCTTTCCCACAATTCACATTGTTATCTTTTGCTACATTACTACTAACAGCTGGATAGAAGTAACATGACATTGAATAGTCTCGACAAATTGTTCAAAATCTGATAAATTTAAATTAAAGTATATACCACACTGTTCCCATAATGTGTCAACTCCTATTTACTAAGTTCTACGATGAATGTACAAGCAAGGTAGAAAAACTTTTGACAAACGTCTTCATTCGCGTGTGAACACTTAGAAACAATTGTCAGTTGAGAAAACGTTGAGAGAAAACTCTTTTTTCCCTTCGAGGTGAGTGCTGTTGGCGACGCGTCGGATTCTCATCATCATTCGCCCTCACAAGATTCGGCATCTACAAAGTGCTACCGTGTATCGCGAAAAGTATGGAAATATCGACAGTCACTTTCCATCGCTATTGTTCGCCGTAAAGGCGGAACTCACGCGCGCTGGCGAGGAATCGGGCACCATGAATCTCTGCTTTAGCGACGCTCCCACGCGTACCCGTTCCGGTCGGGTCCTATCCGTCTTTTTTTCTTCTCTTACTTACTGAAGGCAGGAGGAGCATTTTTCAGAATACGTCGTGATGAGATACGAGCGTGTACGGGACAACGGATGGGGTACTGCGGATTTCATCCGATGGACCGTTCGTTTTTATACATGACGCTTTCTCTCTCTCCCCTACCCATCTGAATAGCCGATGTCTCTCGTGGAAACTAGATTCACATACCCGCACCTACATCCGATTAGTGAGTCGGAAACGAGTCTATCCGAGTCTACTTGATTGCAACTTAAGACCGTGAGTCCAGTCAACCGAGGTAAGAACGTGTTTTCAATCTGGTCGCAAACCACGGATGCTGCACATTACCAGCGATTCTCAATCAGGATACCACGGAAAGAGACATATCTCACGAAGATCGCATAGTTCTTATAATCTTATTATTCACTTATTATTCATTTCTTATAAAATTTGGCTAAGACAGAAGTCACTTTAACCATAATGACTTGGACTGCCACAATACTGTGAACAGAGTTATTTATTTAGCAATATTTAGCAATATTGTAAAGAAATGTCCAAATGATTGGACCTTCATGATTATCACGATGTGAGAAATTGATGATGGAAACTTTACAATTTTTTATTATTTATAAGACAAATACTGTATTGAATTAAATTCACGCTATATTGAATTAAATTTATATCGTACGATAATGTAACTTTTTGTTATATTCATGTAGTAACAAATTAATTAAAAGTTACAGTTAAATTTTCATATTACATTTTACATGAAATATTGTTTTAAATAAATTTTGATTATTCTTTTTGTATTTCTAATTTGTCACATTCTGTGTGGTAAATATGAGCTACTTATAAGGGATGCAACCTTTATAAACCGACTAACAAAATTGCCACCAAACTTATACACTCCTGTCTATTTGAGAATTTATATGGAGATAAAGTCAAATTCCACACATAGTCTTTCATGATTATCACGATATGATAATACACTATTGAATTAATCATTCAACTTACATCATACAATTATGTAAATTTTGTTATTATTAACGCAGTAATGAATTTCCTGAAAATTGTATTCAGACTTTTGTGTTACATTTTATATGATACATTGTTTTGAGTAAATTTTGATCATTCTTTTCATGTTTCTTTCATATTTTTCATCATTCTATGTGATGAATATGAGCACTAAATGAACTACTCATGAAGAATGTAACTTTTACAAATAGTAAAAGTTACAAATAGTAAATGTAACTTTTACAAATAGTAAAATATAGTAGTACGGACTAATAAAGTGGTTATTACATTTACGTATACACTTATCTAGGATAATACAATCAATAATTATTTACATAAATATGATGCAATAAAATGCGATAATAAATCATAAATCACCAGAACTGGATTAATAGAAATGTTACTTGACAACTTTTATATACATAATTCATTAAACTTATTTGATTCGCAGAACAGTAATGATAAATTGCTTTACTCCACAATAAACAAAGCATTTAACATATATTTACGATTTTTCTGTACACAATCTATTAACCGCGAATTGCTATCAATTTTCTGACGAAAAAATACAAACAAGCCTTAATGGCTTGACATAAATATTACTAGAAGGCTGCACAAATATGTACTTTATAAGCTGGTAAACCGCATGAACTGGTCCGTATAAACTGGAGCAGTTTGCAACGTTCTTATAAACTTGTAAAAATCATCTCCTTTTTCCTATGTTTTCTCATTATATATATTTTAACGCATCTTATCACATTTTTAAAACATCAACTTACTGTGAAATGAAAACGCTTATATATTTAGTGCGAACTTTCTGCAATAAAGTGTAACGTTTACATGTTAATGCAAGAAATATCTGAAACGTACGTTTTAATGTAAAATTATTAGCATCGTTATCCAAGCGCGAAGAGAGTATAAACGGAATTACACGTCTTTTAAGTGCGCAACATGTAACGGTGGTGAAGTTTCTTGTCATTCACTCGAAGGTATTAATAGTCACGCGCCGTAGTATCACCTGACTTTATGCTAAAATGTGTTACTAAAAAATTCAGGTTAAAACTAGAGACTAGTGAGAGTGGCTCGCGCACGCAATAAGAAAGGAAAGCAAATAAAATTGGGTGAAGGAGAAGCTAACAAAAAGACTAAAACGGCGAAAAAAGGCGCAACCAATGAAAGTATTATCCGGTCCGGTGTGAAAGGTGGTGCTTTCGATCATTATAACGGCAGCATCTCCTACGAGTGCGTCTCCTACGACTGCAGCGATAATGACGATAGATTGTGCATGATCGATCACGCATAATCACGATCGATTTTGCACTTGACGAACCACTTAAATATATCGTGGGTCATTCTCCAAGTTGAATTATCCTCGGTTCTAACTCGGTTAGAGTTGAACGTTCGAAATAAACCACTACTTTGCTCGCGTGATTTTTTTTATACTTGCCACGACTTGCACTCCAGTTTCACTGTTAATTATATATCAGTCGCAGTAATATCCTGCAACAACAATTAATTCAAAATGCGGTTTAGAGATTGCAAAAATAAAAGATAAGGAATGCATGGAATGCCGGTACCTCGCATCGCCTTTCGCGCATAACTTTGCATAAAATAATCTAGATCACAATATAAGCATCGAACTGAGTTACCAGCATACTTAATAGTTCGTCATGATTAAATATTATGAATATCATCACGTCATATGTTGAACTTCTGTTGCTCACATCCTCGAATTCACTTCTAACCATAATCGTTGTCTTTCCTAATGCATGTAATGCTTTGTCTGAAAACTAGAAGACAGTTTAATGTCTCAACTTTGGCGTGACATCTTTTCGCTTTTCGTCCGTCCGTTCGCCATATTTGCGTGTTCTTCTGCGTGCTTTCACAAATTGACATTAATACCACAAAGAGGTATTTACACTGACGAGAATTGACTCACGCGTTTCGTTCTTCTCGTCACACCGGAACTTCGAAAGAGTAGCTCATTGTCCTTACGAATGGACGAGGGTGTGGGTGCAGCAGCCTGCGGGGTATGGAAAGAGTGACTTTGATCGAGCGACTTTCTTCTCTCGTAATTGCATCTGGTTCATAGAACTCGCGGCGACGCCGTAAGGGTGACGGGCAGTGCGTGAGGGAGACTGAGGAAACCGCGGATGACTAAGAAAGTGAAGAGACGAGTGAAAGGGTTCCGGGACGCCGGGTGTATGTATGGTCATAGATTTAGCGCCGATGGCTACGCCCAGCTTGTTGGTGGAAACATGTGGGTTGTAGTCACTTGATCCCGACTTCACGTTCTACGTAACTGGACACTGACCTTACTTCCATTGTCTGTCGATCTCGTCTTCTCACCGGAAAGGATACTGGAGCTTTCACTGCTTCCTATAGAGGAACATTCTCGATACACCACTACACTAGAAATTTGAGAAGTAGATCTGCCTCCTGATTCTGCAACTTTCAACGACAATGTCGTTACTATTGTGTTGTCGTTAATACAATGGTAGAAAATTAGCAACACACCGTGCTAGTGACACTGCCATTATAGAGTTAGAGAATTGGCCTATTGAATCGTGAAATTTCTTGAAGAGCGATTGAACAAACAGTCGATATATTATCAAGCACCGATTAATTGTTCATTTATAGTAATCAGATTTAATAACATTACAGAACATGTAATCATTAATCGTTTTATAATCATTATCGTGTCATTTATTTCGCCTACACACATGCACGCCGTTGACATATATTATCATTAGATCATGTTTATTTTGTCAGTACATGTTGCTTCTAGATATATCGAGCTTTGATCACACCTTTTGATCATTTATAGTATATAATCTAGCTGATTATACACTCAGATCGTGATCTAGACCGTAATCTGAACTCACAGTACAATGTCAATGTTCCCACATCCTAGCAATTTCCAGGTATGTATCTGGTGAGAGGTCTCGTGTTAGCACGCAACACCAACCAACCGAGACGGCGAGGGGTCGATTGGTTTGGTATAATGACCGCTCTATGAGTGTAACACGAGTATTAGATAATCTATTTTATATCGGTGATTTGTGTAAAGGGTAAGAATGAAGTTTTTCATCATGAATTGAGTTTCCTCCATTGTTATTTTTCACGAAATATATAGCAGAACTGTATTCTTTGGCTTTTCTGACAGGAAACAACATGCTTCGGTAATTAACTCTCGCACCAAATATATATTTTCTATTACAAATAACAACGGTATATCTCGCTTGATTGCACAATATCTTCATTATGTACAATAAAGAGAAAACCGGGGCTGTTTCGTTACCGTTACAGATTTCAGAAGTAAGCAAACAGGGATTTTAAGATTCCTGGCCGCTTGCATTGTCTATCTCTTTTTTTTATGACGTTAGAAGCGAGGAAATGCATGCTAAAAATTCTAGCGAAATATATTAAAATAAAAATATATATCTATAAAGTAACACTTGCAATCGATTAAACAAATTTGTAAGAAATTCCGTGCACTCCCCTTTTGCTTTAACAATCAATTATTTGTCGTAAATTAACGTGACATACAATTCATCTTTTTAACCTATTTCTTCGCCTATTTCTATTTAAATTAATTTACAATAAATTATTGATTGTTAGAGCAAAAGGAGAGTGCACGGAATATCTTACAAACTTATTTAATCGGTTGCAAGTGTTATTTTATAGATATATATTTTTATTTCAATGTATTTCGCAAGAATTTTAGCATGCATTTTCTTGTTTCTGACGTTACTAAAAAGAAATACACAATGCGAGGAACCAGGAGCCTTCAGATATCTTTGATATGTTTAAGTATCTTGCTTGCTTAATTTTGTAATTTGTTAGAAAATGCTAGAAACAACCGGTTTTGCCAACTTACCTTGGTAGTTAACTAACCCCGGTCTTCCCTAATTAATCTTCTGTTTTATTGATCTCTTTTGAGATAAAATATTTAATCATTGAGGAAATGACATGTTTTTTCGTACGAGTTATAAATATTGCAGTAGTATATAATAGGGATTCTAACGCAGGACCTTTGGGGATTCTCGCTCTAAAGCCCGTGTCACACTACGGGTTGGAGACAAA